AACTTCAAAAATTATTAGATTAGTGTTAGATTTTTGTTCAGGTTGTTTTATTAATTAAATTATTTTTTGATTTTAATTATGCATTCTATTATAAATTTTTTTTTTAAAAAAATATAATATAAGTAAAAAAGATAAATTATCTTTAAATTTTTAATAAAAAAATAAAATAAAAATTCCTCAACCATAATTTTGGATTAGAGGGAGCATGCCCTGGTTTTGGACCGATTACTTTCTTTGAAAACTCTTTTATCTTTTCTTAACCGAGAGTAGGATGTACCTAGACACCGCAATCAGTGGCGGAGCTAGGGGAGTCTTGATTTCCCTGCAGGCACAATTAATTTTTTTTTCTTTTGAACGTGGGGAATACTGGGAAAAAGAGTTGAATTTACAAAAATTAAATCCGAGGTTTTAGTCTTGATATATCTGCACCTTATCAATGCAACAAGTGCTACAGGAGTTAGACATAATGATCTTTTGAAAATTTATTAATAAGATATATTAATTTTTTATTATTTTCATCTTTAAATTTTTATTTATTTTATATAGGTCTAATCCATTTCGTTATTAACATTTCATTTTGCCCCTTAATATTTTTCTCTATCTGCCACTTTCCTCAATAGTGGAACACAGTGATGTACCATATGACTGGGTTGATTGTTCCATAAATTATATATATTAGACAAAAATCTCTGCACGCCAAATCTGAAATAGTCAATTATCACATATTAATTATATATTAAGACTTTGAAGGTTAGCTGAAAGCAACGTGTTAGGAAGAAAGCAATAAATTAAGTAGTGACCTAATCGAAGTTAGCCCTCCATGTTGGCCTATAAATACCCGAGACCCCACCGTTCTTTTCCATATCTTCACTGCTCACTTCCTTTTGCTTTCCTTACTCCCGGTAGCTTTTCTTTTCTCCTATATCAGTTTAACAGATAAAATAATTAAACTCGACCTTTCATTTAAAGGAAAAAATGACAACCACAGTGAGCAAAACTGCTGCCATTGTGGCCATGATGCTCCTCTTGAGCATAACATGCCAAGCACAACTTTCTTCTACATTTTACGCAAACTCTTGTCCGAATGCACTCAGCACTATTCGGACTACCATTAGGTCTGCAATCGCGTCAGAGCGCAGAATGGCAGCATCTTTAATTCGCCTCCATTTCCATGACTGCTTTGTTCAGGTACTTATATATATTGTGTTTGTTTCAATTAGTACATAACTACTTCATAATTACCTAGCTAGTTTTTCTTTCTTTTCTTATAGTTGTAAAAAGATTATTGTAATATTCAATATATTTCTACCATATACGAATTCAGGGATGTGACGCCTCGATCCTACTAGACGAAGCTCCCTCTATTAGTAGCGAGAAGACTGCAGTGCAGAATAATAATTCCGCAAGAGGTTATAATGTAATAGACAAAGCCAAAGCTGAGGTAGAGAAGGTGTGTCCAGGAGTTGTATCCTGTGCAGATATCCTTGCAGTTGCAGCAAGAGATGCATCTGAATATGTGAGTAAAGATATATGTACAGTTTAATTGCTTTCATATTTTCTATGAGAAGTTTATAAGATTTTAATAAAATTTTCCTCTAAAAACACCAGGTAGGCGGTCCAACATGGACAGTGAAACTTGGACGAAGAGATTCTACCACTGCAAGCCGAAGCTTAGCTGAGAGTAACCTCCCCCGTTTTACAGACAGCCTTGAAAGGCTTACATCTCTTTTTGGAAGCAAAGGCTTGAGTGCAAGGGATATGGTCGCTTTGTCAGGTTCCCATACCATAGGACAAGCTCAGTGCCTCACTTTTAGAGACAGGATATACAATGCAAGTGACATTGATGCTGGATTTGCAAGCACACGGAGACGTGGTTGCCCTGCCAATCAGGGTGATAGTAACTTGGCACCACTTGATCTAGTGACACCGAATTCCTTCGACAACAATTACTTCAAGAACCTAATTCAGAAGAAGGGTCTTTTGCAATCTGATCAAGTGCTTTTCAGTGGTACATCGACGGACAGCATAGTCTCAGAATACAGCAACAATCAAGATACTTTTAAGTCTGATTTTGCAACTGCCATGATCAAGATGGGTGATATCGACCCTTTGACTGGTTCATCAGGGATCATAAGGAGTGTTTGCAGTGCTGCGGTTTAGTTCCTACATCTTATACATTTGAGAATGAGAGCTATTATAATTTTTCATGTATTTGTTCTTCTTTTGTACGTGTTTTAGCCATTTCCTTTCCTTCTTTCAAGTGTACTGTTGAAGGATTTTAAAAATAGTTCCATGATTTGAATTTAAATCACTAAAAGTTGATTCAAAACTATTGCAAAGAATGGTTTTTTTTTTTTTTTTTTTGAGAAAGTAGGATATTTGTTCAAACCATTTTCAATAAATCAAAAATTAAGAGATAGAATTTTGAGATATTTCTTAGAGAAGGATGGATAGCTTTGGGAGGTAAAAAAACATGTAAGTTGGAATTCAAATCAAACATGTAAGTTGGAATTCAAATCAAACCAAACAACTTTTAAAAGAGTTTCCCATAGATAAACTAGCATATATTCAAATACTTTCATTTAATAAATTAAAAAGGAGGATATGTTGCAACAAACATCTTACTCTTATAAAATAGAGTTATCTCATTTTCTTCTTCCTCTTGAATGCAGAAACAAATCCCCAATGTTATCTAAATAAAATAAATCCTTTTGTGTTGTGATTCCTACTGAAATCTTTATACAAAAACTATTGTTTCGCCACTTTCCTAAGGAAGGTTACATAGTTGATCTTGCCAATACAAAGGCAAGATCAACAAAGTGTCTTATTGTATCCTACAAGCATTTCCAATTACCCTTTTTGCATACTAAATTTGATGGAGACAAAATTAGTCTAAAGGAAATTAGCATTAGGAGCACGCCTTGAATCATTTTTATAGATATTCTACCCTCATTTCTCTAACATGTACAATAGTTGTAGCCTTTTCCCACTTTAATTAATTTGTTGTGTGAATTTCATTCAAATATCAATGAAATCAATATTGTTTCACAATGAAACTAACAACCTTCAAGTATTATTAACCTTGTTTTGTTATGCAAATACATACACCGAGTACCTATCAATCCGCGATTTGAGTAATAATATTTATCATCAAACCTAAATAATCAGTTAGTGTGGAATTACTCCATTTACATATGGTAAGTACATTACTTAATCAAGATGAGCTCGATCGTTCCATATTCTTGGAGGAGGAAACTGTTGGGTTAAATTACTAATTTGGTCCCTTAACTTTTAGTTTTGGACCAACGTTGTCCATGAACTTAAAAAATTACCAAATTCATCCTTAAACTCTATTTTCTCATTCCCAAATTGATCTTTCCGTCAACAAAAGTGCCCAACTGTCATGTTAACTTGGCACATATTCACTCTTTTAAAATTCAAAAACATATAGGAATAAAGATATTACAGTGTGACATTTTTTAAACTATTTTAAATTTATTTTTATAATATGTATCTTTGTCAACATACCCATATGGCATCCATGTTGACATTTTTATATTTTAAAAATTACAAACATTAAACCAAACTTAATTATCAAGTATTAATTTAAACTTTCCCCTTCTTCCTCTATCTTCCTTTCCATTTTCTTCTTCTTCCTTTTTTACTCTTTTTCCTGTTGGATTTTACTATTTTAGAACTCATATCAAGATCTTTCTTCCTCCCCAATCATTTCTATCTCATCCTTCTCCTCTATCTTCCTTTCCATTCTCTTCTTGTTCTCTCTCTCTCTCTCTCTCTCTCTCTCTCTCTCTATATTGGGTTCTAGAACCCATATCTATGTTCTGTAAGAGCACTCGATCCCAGTTTCTTGGAACCTAGATGCTTGGCAACCCAAATCAAATTTGTTTGCCTAGCTTCTTAGGTTTTTGTTACCTGACCATAGCAATGGCATCCTAACCACCAATATTGTAGATTTGCTTAGAGATAATGACTACGAAATGAAGGGCCCTGAGAACTAAATATGGCAACCAATTTGGTGTGGGAAACACTTTAAATCTCAAGTCTTGGTCTACACTAATGATGAGTTCGAAGACCTAAAAATTTCAATCAAGGGTTTAGATATGCTTCTTCATGTTCTTTGAAAATCCAATTGAATTGAGTTTTTTTGGTTATGATTGATGAAGAAAATGATGATAATGATAATTTTTTGTTTGTTTCTTGAAAATTTTGAGTAATTTAAGTGATTTTAGTTTCACTAGAGAATTGGTGGAGGAGGGAGAGAAGATTAATTTAGTGTGGAACACACTATATGTAATTTTATTTAATTAAGGTAACACTAACTTTTAGTTTAATTAAGATAATTAAGGTAATTTTATATTAAAGAAATAATTAAGTTAAGATAATTAAAATTGAGTGGTCCTATTACATTTAATTTAATTAATTAATTAATTAATGCATGTATTAAAATTTGCAAAGAAGTGCACACATGTAGATGCCATATATTTGTGAGTATATATTAGCAAAAAAATTGATATGTAAATCATTTGAATTTCTACATTATATTTTGAATTGAAAAAAGAGAATATGTGATAAGTTAATGCGCCAACTAGGCACTTCCATTGATAGGAGCAAGTTGGGTTCGAAAAAACAGAGTTTAAGGACAAATTTAGTCATTGTTTAAATTTAGGGACGAACTTGGTCTAGAACTGAAGTTGAGGGACTAAATTAGTAATTTAACCTTTCTTTTTTTTTTTTTGTTGGCCGTCACATTGAATTTTCAAGTTGAATTTGGAAGCTTTTAATAGAGATCAAAGGAGTAGGTAGTAGCTATTAAGGTTCCAGCACCTTTTAAAAAGGTGTGTCGGGACTTGAAGCTACAAAATCAATTCCATTTTGATATCTACTTGTTTTTTGTGGGGAAGGTCTTTTTTTTTTTTTTTTTCAACCACTATAATTAATTGTGTGATTAGGATTTCTCTACTACAACCCAAAAACTCCAATACCCTCCAATACTTAACCTAATGTGTAGTAACACCAAGAGGGTGGTGTGTCTCGTGCGCATAGTTTAAACCTATTTCTAAATTGAGGTGATGAGTGAGAGAGATTAATAGATGGTTCTTGGGAAGATTGGGAGATCCTAGCTAGAGCATATTGTAACTCTTTCTGAATAAAAATTTTTTTTCTTTTTTTTTTTCCTTTGATTTTTCTTTCAAATATATAGGAGAGTTTTTCACATTAAGTTTAATGTTGTCTTCTACTATTTTACTTTCATATTTAATCTACTTATATAATTTTGTAATCATATTTTCAATTCATTAACCTTGATGTCAATGGTGTGAGCCTGGCGCGGGCATTTAATTCTCAATAGCAAACCATGGAAAAGTAGCAGGCGAAGTGTAGGATAGTGTGCTGGTTGCCCGCAGTTAATGGATTTGTCTTCGGCAAAAGGTTCCTGTTTGCCCTTAAAGATTTTGAATTTGAGGCATTTTACCCCTTATATTTCAATATATGAATTTTTACCCTTCATGATTTTTAATTTGGGAAAATAAGGCAAAATTTAACACTAAACGATCACGTGCTACATGTATATTGTTATTTTCGTTATAAATTTATATGTCAGCACCAACTTTGACTTTTTTTTACATGTCAGCAAGTCCAACTTGGATCCTTTCCAACAAAATTTTTTTTTTCTTCCTCACTTTCCTCTTTTCCTTTCTCTTTCTTCAACTTCTGCAAATCCAAACATCTCCACTAATCTCTACCCTTGTGGCTTCATCATCATCATCAAATAACAAAACTCACAAACAAAACAACAAAAAGAAATTTTTTTAATTTTCTACCACTGGGTTCGAAGGAACCCAATGCCTTTAAACCCCAGCGCCCGGGTTCTTTCGAACCCAAGCCTTGGGGTTCCAAGGAAGCAGAAAGAAAGACAAGCAATTGAAAAAAAAAATAGAAAAAGAAAAATCCAGACCACAAACCATAGCAAGATTAAAACATAATATAAATCAACAACATCAAATCAAGCCAAAAACACCAACCATCCTTCTCTCATGAGTTTTCGATTCAGTAACAAACACCCAACAAACAAACATAATCGATTCAGTAACAAACACCCAGCAACCAAACACAAAACCCATATAAAACTCACTAAACACAAGAG